AACCAAAGGCCAAGAAGTGGTTGAAATTTTTTCTGAATGGTTGCCAATGGCAACCTGGCAACCGTTACTGTCGAGCCCTGGGTCCTGATATAGATATAAGAGTGGATGGTGACGATATTCCCAAACAGTCAATATTGGATTAATATAATCTTTTTTTCTTTTGATTTTTTTCAGATGATGGGTTGCTACAGTACAACAGTGAGGGGTTTGGTGCCTTGCTCAAAAGTAGCTTGGCATGAGATGAATTGGCACCTCTCCAGCTACCATTTCACACACATTCAATAAGAAAGACATAGAAAAAACAGATCAGATATTGACATTGAAAGCAGCCTTAAAATTAGAGTACACTGGTCAAGCTATGCACTTCTACACTCAAAGAAATAACTCATTGGATTAACTCAATTTTATTGTTGGCAGGTTTTCCATCCAATAAATATATGTGGCACAAACTCAAACTAATGGCATCCATGCAGTATAATGTAAATGAGTTAGTCCAACTCAAATTTTTCAAATAGAGTTTAAGTAAAATGATAACATTACCTTTATGAATTTAAATAATGCTAGTCCACCTAAATCCTATTTAATTAATTGAAAATGAAATAATGAGGTTAAATATAATTTAATAAAAATGTGTTACACATGATAGAAAACATGGTTTAGTTTTTTTTATTTTTAAATTCACATTATTCAAAACAATCCTCCATTCAATACAGTCTTTTTAAAATGAATGAATTCACACTGAAAGATGAAAAACATTTCTGAAAGATAATACCATTTTTAAAATGGCAGAGAAATGGAACTCCTATAATTAACTTACAAATCTCCCTTTGCCAAATACAATGAATACAATATAACAGGGGTATGCACTGCTCTTCTAACAGGACAATAACACATAACATAAAGAGTGCACTGCAAACACCAACATATGGAAATAGTGTTACAGTGTGTTGAAACAAATACAGAAAAGCACAGAACAAATGATTGATATAACGGCTCAATCTGCTCTGATTAGGAAACTCGTGAATAAAATGACAACAATGAACTCATGAGTCACTTCTTTTTCACATTTCAATCGAACAACTTGATCTTCAGACTTTCGATTTTACCATTCAGCTTGTGCCCATCCAGATTCATCACTACCTTCTGCATGAACTCGAAGGTGTGTTTGAGGTTGTCCGGAAAGCTCAAATCCAGGGCATAAATAAGTCCCAATAGCATGACAAACCCCACAATCACGCTGCCCAAGTTGTCCATGACTATATTGCCTTCGATGACAATTCCCACGTCCTCTGGCTGCCCATCCACATCTCTTTGAAGTGTGTATATGCCCATGACTGTGTTTGCCATGTCCCTCTTGGCATCTTCAGAGGCAGAGGCCTGAACAAAGACACAAACATACAACATATGTGTTAACTAAAACCTGAATTACTACATTTTATAGAAGCAGATTTACTTATGTGGCTCTCCTAATTGATCAAAACAGTTTTAGACTAACCCTCTGGTATCACTCAAATGTACTACCCTATTTGGCCACTCAGGATAAAAATGTCCACTTTCAAAAACTTGAATGATAAAATGATATGATACAAATATTATATTTAAATATTTTTCCCCCACACTTTTTGGGAAGTGTGGGAACATTTTTTAAATGGACAATTAGGGTAATTTGTACAGTGTATTCGAGACCGATTAGAAAAATTGAAATTCCAAAAAGTATCTAGAAAAAACACAAAATCATTATAGCCAAATCTGATGTGAAAAATTACCAATTTGGACAAAAATGTCCGAGTGATACCAGAGAAGGTTAGGACCTCCAACACAGAACTAAATTAAGCTTGAAAGAAAATGTTTGCATAAATAAGTTATAAAGATATATTCCTGTATGTTCTGTTTGATTATCAACGTTATCTTATTTATTAATTCAGGTATTATTTGTTTACGTCCCTACTTAATAATGTAATTTGTTGTTATTCCTGTAGTTAATTATGCATTTACCTACTTATTTCGATATGTATTTGATTATTTATTCTTTAATAATTTATTTCCTTGATTTATGTGATTATGTAATTATTCCTTTAACAATTTAGTAATTGCTGCATTCACATACCTTTTTAAACATGAATCTATTGATTAATATATTTCAGCATTTATTTATTATTTTATTTATGTATTTATTCAATTATTTATAAGTTCTTACATATGTATTCATGTCCATATTTATTTATTCATTTATAGATGTATTTATATATAAATGTAAATATTTATTTCAGCATTCATTTATTATTTGTATTTATTTCCAGATATATTCATGTTTTAATTCACATTTGTATTTATCAATTGTATTCCTATGTTAATTTATAGATGTATTTATATCTGTATAAATGTATTAATTCACTTTTTTCTATATTTATTTTAACACTTGCCCGATGAAATTACTTCTGTATCTATTTATTATTATTTTTTTATTTCTGTATTTATTCATTCTTACATATATTCATTCCTATATTAATGTATAGATTTATTTATTTCTGCATGTATTTATGATATGTGATAAGATATTTAGATGTAAGCAGGGATAGGGTTGTGTGCCATATAATTTTCTTATTATAAATGTAAGTAATGGTGGTTATAATTGTGGGTAACACTGTTAACCAATACATTGAAAACATATTGTGATAAACATACCTGATACTCCTTAAAAAAAGAGTCTGGATCCTCGTTGAGGTAGATCGCGATGCTTCGCAGGATGCACCCCCTCTTGATGTGGATGTTTTCAAACTAAAGCAGGGGCGATAAATCAAAGACAATTAAGCACAATGCATGTGCAACAGAGCAGGTAGTTTACAACGTAGAGGGCTGTATCTGTCGTGTGTGTCCCTAAGCAGGACTCCTTACACCTACATTTCCACAATAAGCTATTGCCTTAAAAACACTATAAAAGCAGACAATTTCTTAAATGTGTTCATATGATCATGGACAAAAACAATACAGTGAAAAACGAGGTTCTCTGCATTTATACTAACCGAATCTGATATTGCAAGGGCTTCCTTGATTTTGTGCCCCTTCACTCCTCCTTTGGTCTTGAAGATCTTCAAGAGCTTGTCTGAGAAGTGGTCCAGCTGCCACATGAACTTTGATTGAAGTGGTGATGTTGTGATCCTCAAAAACTCCGCATTCACCTTAAAAATATTATTAACAAGCACAATACAACCAATTGTTACTTGTTAATTCTACTGGCTTTGGTGTTAGCTGTTTAGCATGAGTTTTGTATGTGTGATTTAAAAGTTTACTCCATGTGTCAAACGAACATGGGCAATCAGTATATGGACATGGATAGCGACAACTGCCCCTTAAATGTGCATGTGTCTGCCGGAAATGTTTTAACAACAAATACCTGCTAGCTAGTTCCAAACTGCAGTGTTTGCACTGCCACATGCATAACCTGAAAAAGAGAAAAAAGAGAATTAGCAATTGACACTGAACAACTGACAATGTCACAGATCAGCTTATGCAAGTAATGTGAAAGTAGCCGTGTACTTACCATAAATAAGAGGTTGCCCCAAGATGCTTGTTAATGCTGATCAAACTGCAAAAGACAACATAAATATATTAGAGGTGTGATTAAAATGCTTATATATTTGAATTTTCACAGACAACACATAATTGCCTAAGATTGCACAACCCAAAAAAAAAATGATAACAGATCACACTTTAAAATTAAGAGTCTAGTAGACATGTTTTATAAAGCAGGCCTACGTTTCTGCACAACTCTGGGTGCCTGCTTGTGAGTGAGGTAACCCATACAAGATTCACATATATATATTATCTCATTATTTATATTAAATATTTGGCAGTAAAAAACTAAACTCAACTGAACTCCTACAGAAACGAGTGGCTCCGCCTGTCCTCCTCTGCCTGCACTAAGGCCAGGAGAGAGATGGACAGACCTGCTGAGCTTTATGATAGAAAATGGCGGCGCTTACTCTTTGCATTTTTTGGTTGAATTTAAACTGAATTTCGGTGTACTGTGTTCAATGACAATAACGTTAAATCGAATGTAATATAATCTAATGATCTCCATTATCCAGTATTCAATGCTAACCGTATCTAGCAAGCTAGCTAACAAACCAGTTATCCAGCTAGCTAGCTTTACCTCGTGCACTTGAATTACTCTTTGCATTTTTTGGTTGAATTTAAACTGAATTTCGGTGTACTGTGTTCAATGACAATAACGTTAAATCGAATGTAATATAATCTAATGATCTCCATTATCCAGTATTCAATGCTAACCGTATCTAGCAAGCTAGCTAACAAACCAGTTATCCAGCTAGCTAGCTTTACCTCGTGCACTTGAATTACTCTTTGCATTTTTTGGTTGAATTTAAACTGAATTTCGGTGTACTGTGTTCAATGACAATAACGTGACATCTAATTTAATATAATCTAATGATCTCTACTATCCAGTATTCAATGCTAACCATATCTAGCAAGCTAGCTAGCTTGCTGTTTAGACCCAACTAAAAACGGAGCAAAATATAACACGGTGGTTTCAAATATTCTTGTCGATATAATGAAAAGGCATTAGGCCTACTTGGAAACAGGGAACATTCTAAACTACTAGAAAAAACAAATACTTACCAAATAATAGACTTTCCACCGTCAGTTTCACACCGTCAGTGTTAGACAAAAGGCGGCAAATGACAGAACGGATCTTGTGCATGCGCAAAGGTGATGTGCAAAGGGGCGGTCCCAAATGAAAACAATTCATTTTGAGTTGCTCTGTCTTAAATACATTTAATAAGTGAATTGATTAATGTAATTTGTGTTACACTAATGAACTATACTTAGGTTTATTTCTTAAATAAAAATATTTAAGTAAAGTGAAACAATTATTAATGTGTCAAGTCTAAGAAGGGCTTGAATCGTTTTTTTGAGTGTAATACACATTTTCCTCTGTAGTTTTTCAAACCATGTTTGGTAAAAAGAAATGTGATACTTACAGCAGTTAGTGACAGCAAAGCTGTTAGCCACCTCCAGGTTATCTATGTGTGGAGTCAGTCTGAAATCTGCCATTCCAAACTGAACCATGCCAACCCTGAACGCACTGTACTCCTGATCTGCACCCCGCGGAAACAGACCACCTGGAAACACAGACACAGACCATCAGAAAGAAAATGATTCGCTATATTTTTTGTATAAATATTACAGTGTTTTTACTTTTAATAATAATAATTCATTTAATACATGTTTTTAAAATACATTTTACAACAAAAATGTTTTTAGGGATTTATTTCAATGTATCATAAGCCCTTATAATATGTGTTTCATTTAAGTCACCAGTTATATAGTCCCAATCACTCTCGAGTCACCACTTTGAAAATCCGAGTTCAAGTCGAAGTCACCCAGTCTGGGACGAGTCCGAGTCATCATTACCTGTGTTCGAGTCTGAGTCACAAGTCTGAGACGTCATGTATTAATCGTGTGAATATATTTGTTTAGATTTAGCTGTTGGATAGCTTTATATCAATCAATATTTGTTATTGTCTACATTGCTTTTATAATTATATTTTCTGCATTGCTTTTATTTTGTCTATTTTACTCTCATTTGTCTATTTAACTTCTGTGAAGCACTTTGGGCTACAATTCTTGTATGAAATGTGCTATACAAATATAAAGCTTAATATTATTATTATCAAGGTTGAGTTGAGTTCTAAAATTGCCTTCAGCGCTCCATTCTGGCACCTTTAATGAGCTGCTTTACAAAATTAAACAAAATGACACACGGTCACATTTCAGGGTTATTTTTAGTTTATTTAGCGGTTCTAAAACACACAGAATCTGAAAAGATATTGACAGTAACATTCCACTCACCTAATTAAACCATCACCGTACTGAATTACTTTTATTTCAATAAATAAATAATATAAATTTTGGGGATAAAAGTCAACTTTTATAATGTGGTTGTTTAATTTATTTCATTTTTACAATAGATTATACTTCTGATCAGAAAAAAATTAATTAAAGTTTTCATTCCATGGTGAGGGCGTAATGCTGGAGATATTGTTGCCAACACGCATATCTGCAAGTGTTTCCCGTTTGCATTTTAAATATAAACTGTAAACGTTTTTTTCTACGGTGCACAGTTCACATTTTTGTGGAGCTGAATCTCTGACCGATCCTCGATCATCACTCCCGCCACCACCGGTGGCTGCTGCTGCTACCGGAGCTGATAAAGAAGCTAGGTGTATTGACGGAACCGCACTAGCTATCAGCCTCACACGGTCCTGGCTTCGATATCCCATCCTGAACTCCATCAGATCACCTGCCTCGCGTTTTTCGTCACAGACATTGAAGTCCCGTCTCTTCGCCTGCACAAAACGCACCCAGGACCGAAAGCTAGCTCCAGTCCTTTTCCTGTTAGGGAAACTGTGGACTCAATGTCCTGACAGGCTGGAATGTGTGCAACCTAGACAAACACAATACTTCCCCATGATTACAAATGGTGAAATACAAGGTAAAACTCCAGAAAAATACCAGCTCAATAAAACACAACCGCTCAAACCAACTACTTCCGTGAATTGGTCAGAGAAGGAGTAGGAGAAAGTTGCTCCCCCATGTGACGTAATATGAAGCGTTTGACGTTAAAATAAAAGCAGTTTTTAGTAGCAGAGCTCAAAACGGTTCCTTTCCCCTCTGAATTATTGCCCTTATGTCTCGTAAAACATATAAAATCCTGCATTAACTTTTTTAATTGTAATTTTCAGGCAAGGTTAAGCATAAATGTAGAAAAAAAAAACCCTGCAAGTTGCTCTTTAAATTCATCTTTGGGTTGAGTAATTTATTGAGAATTTGTCAAATTAATGACATGACAATTAAATGTATCAACCCATTTCCTTTGATTTCTTTAAGGCAACACTTGTAGCATGATAACATTGACATGGCTAACAAATAGTACTATTTGAATGCAATGCAAAAGCATATGGTTAACACTGAACACAGTGGCTCGGGGATTGCTGTGTATATCTGCATTTGTGGTCCAATAAGGAATTCTTCTCAGGAAACACGTCTGAAGAGCTGGATTTTAATCATTTGGATTGAACTACCGAGAAACAAACGTGCATATGCGTGCGTGCGCACACGTCTCAATGTTAATGAGATGCACGCGCATATAAGCACATAACACACAGACAAAATATGTTGACATAAATAGGAGCACTGCAGCAGCCGCTGTACAGTCAGAAGGCCTCTCTAATGAGCGGCACGGGGGACATGACAGAGGCCCTTCCGCTGGAGACAGAGAAAGAGCGGGGGATGCGCGAAGGAGGGGAGCAAGGGAGTCATTTACACGTACGGATGAACAGAGAGGTAAAGACAAGGAAGGAAGGGGGGTGACAGAAAATAAGAGCCTACCGATTTGGACACTCGGAGATCCGCACGACGCCTCGCGCCATACGAGCGTGAGTATCAACAGCAGTTTCATGGTGTTCAGATCCTCACGCGACGCCACAGTAGCTTCTTGTCGGTTCCTAGCAGAACATCATCTCCATCACGCGCTGCGTGCTCATGGCGGCAGTCCAGTCCGTCAGGCGCGTCTCGAGCTCTGCAGATGCCCTCTCCTTCTCCTGATATGCGCGTGCCGCTGCTGCTGCTGCTGGAGAGGGGTGCGCGCGGCGCGAGGTTTGCCTAAGAATACCGATGAGGCACGAGCAGGAACCGAGAGCAGCGGGAACGGCCGAAACCAAACACGCGAGCGTTAATGAGATCAACATAAGGCTAGAAGACGAAAGCTCTGCAGCAGCTACTCTAACATTATTCTGACAATGAAAAATGCATGAGCAAATCAATAAGATTATTGATTTCCCCATATGCACCATGACAGGCCTATCTGAGTAGGATGTGAGCGAGGTCTCTGTTTATTCTCAAAGGAGGCACAGTGAAATCCATGAAAAAGAGAAGAATGACATAGTCTGATGTGCAGGGGTAAATTGGGCCAGGCCAACGCTCCTCCCTCATCAGAATCTTACCTCTTTAACAATGCATGTGTTTACAAAAAATGCTTTTAATATAAAATGTAAGTCAAAATGCGTGCTCAGCTCATAAAAGACCTGCTGCATGACCCTTCACTAACAGACAGGCAGCAGCAGTGTTACAGGTGTGTCACTGGGGGAGGGGGTCTGCAGTATCCAGACCACCCGACTCTTCTGAAGCACAGAGCCCGTCTCATATGCTTTATGGGTTATGATATTTCATATACTGTACACTACACATTTCTCTTTTAAATTGAACATTTGGTTAGATTCTTTATGCAATTATTCCTGCGGTAAAAAGTAGTTTTGTGCAGCCTGAATGTGCACATTAGCATGATTAAAGCATAACATCTAAATGTGAAATTATAGATGGAAATGTGTGTGTGCAATGATAATACTTTGTCATTTGTGATCTCCATATTGATCACAAATAAATATACCATACTTTTGGCCACCATTGTGCAGGAGAATGTGTACTTGTTGAGTACATCTTTATTTTTTACTTTTCTTAAGAAAGATTGCAAGAAATTGTCAATTAAAAATGATTTTTTTTAAAGAGATGGAAATATTGAGATATTTGAAAAGGTGTGATATAAGATGTAAAATAATGACAGTATAATATAACTATTTTATATTTCCAAAGGCAGCTTTAAAGTTGTACATTGGAATCAAGTCCATCAAGTCACTAATATGATTGTGGTAGATGCAAATGATCTCTGATTTGCAACAAATGTTGTTTGCACATTGCTAATAGAATTTCAAAGGTATTTCAGATTGGAAGAAGTCAAGTATTTAAATGAATGTACAAACTTTTTCTAGATAGTATCTGAACACTTTGATATTTTAAGGTACTCACCCCATGTCAAATGTAATGCTTAGATGGGTAGGTATAGTCATAGCACAAACAGTGTTGGGTGTAACGCGTTACAGTAATATATAACTTTTTACTGTAACGAAGTAATGTAACGCATTACTTATGAAATGTGGGTAATATATTACCCGTTACAATGCTCAGTAACGCAGTTACAACACATTTCAACCCGAAATTAAATGGTGTTTTGTTTTTTAAGAATGTACTAACATAGAAACATTCCGACACGGCGATACCAGACAAATTGTGCGGGTAGATTAGTAGACCTGGTGTGTTTACCCTTCAGGCTTCGCGTCGGGATCTTCGGGGCAGTTGAATGTTATGCACCCTCTATTCAAAAAAGAGAACGGAGCGAAAAATACAAACAACAACTTGTGTCAGGTGCGCGTGACCTGCTCCGCTGCGCGTGCATCATTTCAAAGTGCTTCAGCAGTGACACACACCTGTGGATAATCATTTATACGAGAATGGTTAAAGCAACCATCACTAAACGCCAGCAACACTGCATCTACTGCAGACAGTAGCAACGGGTCAGATGGGGACATCACGTTACCCTCCGTTGTGGACACTAGCTTACTCCCGCCTGACTCGCCGCCCTCGCCCCCGGAGCAGCAGTCTTCGTCTCCCCAAACTACGCCGCCCCTCTGCGGCCCCCAGGTGCCAGGATACCACGGCAAAACAGAGCCTGCCCAGGTATATCTAAACAAGTACCCGCCTGTACAGTGGGGTTAGTCGGTCATTTTGCAGCTCGTGGTATACAAATAGACAAGGGCTAGAATATTCATGTGAAAATAGTGCCATATTCTGCCATGCCTGAAGAAATGTTGGTCAAAAATAATGCATACAATAGCACAGATGCCTTCACCACGAATGGCTACAAAAAGATCTCATATCCCAAGCTTATCAACAAGCTAATGTTGCAGCTGAAATGTTCTCCAGGTCACAAAGTCAACCTCACATGATGATGTGATCCAGTTTTCAAGCACAGTAAATATTCTCTTCCCAGAGTATATGATGGGACCAAAGTGATGATTTAGTACATGGTTTTAATAATACTTTTGCTTTTCAATGTTTGCTATTTCAAACCATGAGCTGGTTCAAATCATATTTGCCTTGATTTACAATATGTTCTCATTTGTGTTATCAGTACAGCTTTGAAGCTTTTGTGCTTTTCTTTGCCACAGTCCACTTTGGACTATATGAGATATTTCAGGATTGCACTTTTAACTTACTTGAAATGTTCTCACTTGGTTTCAAAACATAACAAATGCCATAATCTGTTCATTGGGGACCATCAATGCTATTTTTCATTGCTGTTGCCGGCCACTATTGCTCATTTAAACCTACTACTGCTACGCCCCCTGTAATCTGAGCTGGTCTCCCTTGAAAAAGAGATCAATGATCTCAATGGGATTTATCTGTATAAATAAAGGTTTGAAATGAAATGAAATGAATCTCAGAAGCACCCTGAGTCATGTTGTTCTGGAGCCGGGCCTGTACACGGCCATATACTAAACACACTACAGAGCCCATTCCGTGTCCTGTTATTGTTTACTTCCTGTCTGCCTTCTTCTGGTGATTTATCTGACGTCCAGCGCTCCGTCTTTTAACCTCTTTTCCTTTCTCTTTCTGGATCCTCCTTAGCAACCTTCATTATAGTCCTTGACAGTGGTCTGTACTGCTGGATTAACAACGTGTCACATGTTAAGAAGTTACAATCAGAATCCAGTATTCAACTAAGCCGTGTAATACAAGTTGTTAGTAGCCTTAATGGCCTACACAGTTGTTATGCTATACCACATTGCCCTTCACTGGATGTAGAATGAGCTGCACTAAACTACATGTTAGCATTTCAAACACCTAGCCATTCTTTTGTGGTTATTTTGGTGAAAGTAACTAAAAAGTAACTACAGTAGTGTAACTCATTACATTTCAGAGACAGTAATATTGTAATGTAACTTATTACTTTCAAAAGACAGTAATAAGTAATATGTAATATATTACATTTTGGAAGTAACTTGCCCAACACTGAGCACAAATGATGGAAATTGTAACCTTAGATAGGTTTTACTTTGGGACGGGTGGCGCAGTGGTCTGTGCATCTGATCATCAGATCAAGGGGGGTGCTGGGGAACTCCAGTTCGAAACCCGCTCCTGCCGCCACTGCGTCAGGCCGTTGTGTCCTTGGGCAAGACACTTCACCCGGATTTGCTCCTGTGGGTAATGTCCACAGTAGATGTATAATATCAATGTGTACTTGTAAAAGTGCCTCGATAACTTCGAGGCGTGAAGATGGACGGTGTGGCGCAGTGCGCTGTGCAATGATCATCAGATCAAGGGGTGAAACCCGCCGCTGCTGCGTCTGTAAAGCCGTTGTGTCCTTGGGCAAGACACTTCACCTGAACTTGCTCCTGTGGGTATTGTCCAGTGACCATTGCATGTATACAAAAATATGTGTTATGTGTAAAGCGCTTTGAGCATCTGGAAAAGCGCTATAATAAATGTAAGGAATTATAATTATTTAATATAAATGTCCATTTATTTGAGTTTTGCATTATTCAAGTGTCTTTTACATGAGAGTTGGAAAGTCCTTCTTTACCACCCCAGGTCAAAAAGTAGTATACTTAGTGCATTAGAAATATAATTTAAGTATAAAAAAGTGTATACAAGTATACTTTTACTTGTTGTGCTTAATTGAAAGTGTGTTTAAAATGTACTTTTAAAAAGTGTAATTCAAAATAGATGTCATTTAGTTCAATTTCAATGTACTAAAAATAAATATACTATTTCGGAAATACTTAAAGTGGTATTTCAGTGTGCTTATTAAAAGTGTACTTGAATCTAAGTGTATTGTGAATTGCAAGTAAGTACACTTTCGATATACTACGTACTAAATTGCAAATACTTATATTGGTCATTAAAGGGATAGTGGAAATCCGCGAATGTTGGGTTTAACTTATGTATTTGTATTAAAAATAAGCATAATAAACAATTTTTTTTAATTTCATGCGCCTAGTTTCATTTTATTTTCAATTTTACTGCGCCCTCTCAATGAAACGAAATACTTTGGGAATCGTCGGGAATCTTCGGGTGGTGACGAGAGCAGAGGAAGACGGGCACAAACAATGGCGGACATTCAATAGCATTTGCATGTGAATAGCCGACCTTTATTATGGTGAATAGATGTGTTTTGTATGGCTGTAGTGCAACAGCAAATGCAGAGAATGGCGTATCGACTCATGCGTTTCCAAGAAACCCAGCCATTCGTCGTCAGTGGGTGAAATTTGTTCAGAAATGTTCACTATAGGTAATACTATAAGACTGTAAGACGGCAATACTTTATACCGAGTATATTGCCATAAATATGATGATTGATTATCAGTAAAAAATTATACGTGACACAACGACATTGGATTAACCTTGACATGCGTTTTTATTCCGTTGAACACAACTTTTGATCACAAATCAAAAAAGGTAAGACGTAATTATTGTAATATTTTTGGAACCGGATGTTGTTTACTTTCTCTTTTCTGGCTGATAGCTCCAGGAATTCGAGGTCTTACAGTGATGACATTACACCTGTGGAGTCTCAGCTTTAAATCGTATATCTTGTTTGTGCAGTTAAGATAGTAATAAGGGCATTTCCACCGTGTGTTGTGTGTAAAAAAAGCGTTAGCATTAGTTAGCATTGTTTCGCTCAATGCTAATTCAAAGGCTTGGTATTACTCTTGTGTTTTTTCTAGCTAACAATTGTTCTTATTGTCAGTTAGCGGAGTTT